AAAAGCAATTTGTCAAGTCATAAGAGTTTTAAGTCAACTTATGGAATTTTAGAGCAGTAGTACTATTTTAACAAGAAAATATTTGATCTCTTTGGTTCCTTTGTGTGTACTTTACACTGTTATTCACTATTCATTAGTCCATTTAGAAAAAGGAAAACTTTTTAATTATAAGGCCGAAAATTAATGATTCATTTTCTAATAGGAATAGTTTCAAAGATTCTTTTAGTTAAATTACAATTGGTCAATGATCCGAGTCTAGCTTATTATGTGAAATTATATATGAGGATTAATGGAATAGAAGATATCAATTGAAATAATGAAGATACATATATAAGCATATATATATATATATATATATAAAGCAATAAATTAGTCTAGTATTCAAAACTAGATATAGTTTTGAGTATTGAATTACTTGCACAAAGTTCTACTTAAAAAGAACCGAACCAAAAGGAGTAGAAACATCATGGATACAATAAAGGGCCTTGATGGCCACTATCAGCAATGGAGGACCCTTATTTGTGGCCTTGATGGCCACCAAACTAAAGGGTCTAAATGACCATTATGTTCTCCAGTTGCCCACTAGGCCCATTATGCCTCCCTTCTTTCCATTTTCGACTTTTGGTTCACAAAATTTTCTACTTTGAGAAACATGGAGCTTCAAAGGAAAAGAAAGAAAATAAAATTATTTTAATGAATTTACTATCATACCTATTTTTATAGATTTTGTCTTTTATAAAAGTAAAGACAAAATTAGTATTAACAAGGTTTCATTAAAAATGATTGTCTTTCTTTTTATTTCCTTTCCTTCCATTTCCTCTCACTTTTGGGAGGATAACAAAACTATCACTTGTTGCCTAAATTGTATCCTTTCAAATCCATCCATCCTTTTCCTTTAATAATGTATTTCAAAATGGATGCACACGGTCCGATTTGGACCGAATTGAGAGTATTTTGGGACCAAATCATTAATAACGATTTTACTATTTTTGAAACCAGACCGAACCATAATGTCTATGGAACCAAACCAAACCAAACCGCGAAAAACCGGTTTGGTTTGGTTCGGTTTGTCGGTTTCAATTGATTTCCTTTTTATTTTATTTTAATTTAGAGGGGGCAAAGTTAAAAAAAAAAAAAAAAAATCAATTTTAAGAAGAAATAAAGAAAAGAAAATTGAGATATATTTGAAAAAAGAAATTTGACTTTTTTTAAAAGAAATTTAAAAAACAAAAGAAAGAAAGAGAGCACGTCAAAACTTTACTTGATTTAGGTTTAGAATATGATATACATATATATATATATTATAACATAGTAACGGTTCAGTCCGGGCTGGTTCGGTCCAACACGACCTTAAACCAGGACCGGCCCAAAAAATTACGGTTCCATAATTTTGGACCCAGGAGCGGACCAAACCGCTATCCAACTAGCCCAATTCGATCTGATCCAGTCCAATTTTTCGGTTTCCCGGATTTTTTGAACACCCCTGCATCAAACATGATATTTCATTTCCTTCTATTACCTTTCCTTTCATTTCTCTCTCTTCCATCAGCCTCCAACCAAATTGGGCCAAAGTGCAATAACATGTCATGTAATGAAATGGGTTTGTAATTAAGTCGGATATGAAACAATAATGAAAATGCAAAAACGCATTTTCAATTCAATGGTGTTGCAATATTGCAATTCGGTATAATATTTTGCATAAATACTACATCCGTAAAGTAAATGTGTTTATATATATAGATGTTGCATGAATGTCATATTTCCGACGTAGTGTATAGCATCATCGATTTAAAGTGTAATGAACCATCCAATGCACTAGAGATCCGGATTCAATCCCATATATTAAACAACATTTCGAGAATTTTTTTTTTTTTTTTTTATCTAATTAAAATTATTTTTCTTGTAAATAATACACTTATGCTATGTTTGACAGCACAGAATTGGCACCTCGAATTTGGGATTGGAGAAAAGTTAATATAAATTTTAAACTAAACTTCCTCCAATTTTAAATTCAAAGCACCAATTCGGTACTTCCAAACATAACATTAAACTACCTTATATAATTTTAAAATAGCTTATTATCGATAAAATTCCGAAATGAATCGTGAAAGTAAAAGATGTTTGGAATGATAATTTTGTGAAAGATGTTTGGAATTACAGTCCCAAAATGGCTTGATATTATTTACAATATATCATCTTCTTCATTTTAATTTCTTTTTATCTAACAAAATCATTTTACCTTATAAATAAGGTATTGCGGAGAAGGGCACAAAGTAATGATAGTTACACCGACTATTTTAACATATTTTTTTAGGGTTCCTATTCATTTGATAGTGTGGATAAGCTTAAACATGGGTTCCATTCACAACATCAAAGAAAAACCTCGAGTTAGACAAATAGGTTTGAGATTTCGGTGCAAGAATCATTTTTCATTGCGAACTAACAAATCCTCTTTAGTCTGTTTAACAAAGATCTCCTATTTTGTAGGAAATTCGGATCCAATCCCTAATTTCGAAATAACTTAATGATGCAAAAGTAAGAAAATGTTTGGAATGACAATTCTAGAAAAATAACAATTCTGAAATGACTTGATATTAATTAACAGTATATCATCATCTTCTTCATTTCAATTTCTTTTTATCTAAACAAAATAATTTTACCTTGTAAATAAGGTTTTGCGGACAAGGGCACAAATTACCAACTAGCGTATCTTCTTTAATCTCTTTCACAAAGATCTTCTATTTAATCATATTTCTCTCATAATTCGGTCAATATGCGACGTATCGGCAGGTTTGTAACATTTTTTCATAAATTTGATATCGTTACACACCTCCATGAATTTATTGGTTCAATTGATTTATACTGATATTCATTCAAATATTTTACATCACAAACAATACCGCGATTGCAAACCATTATTTCCCTCCTTATTTCTCACCTAATATCTCTCTCTCCCTCTCGCGCTCTCTCTCTCTCTCTCTGAATTTTGAAATTTCTTAGTGTAAAAAATACTAATTCCACTACCAAATGCGCACCCCTTTACCGACTATGATAAATGAACATTAATTGTTGCTTAACCAAACAAATGGCACATTTCAAGGAGACCACATGATATACTAATAACTGACTTTACTTCATTCCCTTCCATCACTTTATATCTTGACATCCTAACAAATATATTCATTGGTTGCTCACACACTCGTGTTTATGTAAACATGACCTCTTTGTTCTATCTATGCTAAACCCAATAATTAATTTATTAAAAAAATTGCAAATCTCAATTTTAGTTCAAATTAAGAACATCTTAGTAAAAGAAAGGAAGTCATTGTAAGGGAATTTCATGACCAAAAAGAAGCATTTTGAAAGATAAGCTTTAGAGAATTTGAAGGCCAAGAAGAAGCATGGAAAGGAATTAGTGACATATTCATGCCACTAATGATTACTTTAGAGAAAGTGGTTTTGCATTACATTTAGAGAAGGAAAGATAAAATCCAATTAGATGATGTTTATCACAATATTCCCATTTTGGAAAGGCTGATATGGAAGATGGATCATGGAAAATTAGAGGGGAAAGGAAAGGAAAGGAGTGGTGAAGGAATTGGTCGGTTGTGGTGCCTCCCTTTTTGCCCCCATTTATTTGTGGGGGATTCCATTGATGCAATCCTAGGTGGTCGGTTTAAAGGGTGCCACGTGGAACCCTCCTCCTCCCAACCATACATTCAATCCCCTCATGATATTGTTGGGCTGCAGGGTGTTGGCTTTAGAAAGTTGGTACACCATTGATCATGATGGTTATGACAATTAATTAATATAATGATAACTTAGTAGAAATATTTGTGTTAAAGGGATTCCTATATTCTTTGAGACCATTCACAATTTCACATGAGCATTTATATACAATTGTGGAAGACCTCTAATAATTGAGAGTCGTGGATCAAGATGTGCCTAAATTTGTAATCGGGTGGTGTTGAGTGTTTTTAGAGTCACGGACACGATCAAGATATATCTGATTCAGTAGTCTCGGATGTTGTCAAATCTAACATAGTTCATATATGTGTGTGTTATGGGCAGACATACTAATGATAGCAGAAAATGTGATCTATAGGATTTTTTTTAAAATTTTTGTGTGATGATTTATAGTATCAATTCATTGAATTTTTAATGAGAACTTAAATATACAAATTATGATCCAATGTCTCAAAAGTAGGGCACATGAATGAAACCATAATGGAAGTAGCAAGTGCCATCATTATTTTGTTAGTGCAAATTTTCCATTAACTGCTGTTGAGAGACATTATTGATCACAAGATTATATATATCCTCTAATAGATTACATTAAGATTAACAAATAAATATTTAGGAAAAAAAAAGATTAATAAATAAATAAATAATTTTTCCCCTCTTAAATAATGTGGAGTAGATGAAAATAGAACACTGGCCATTTCAACTAAAAATGAACATGTTCCCACAATAAGAAATGCTGTTGCTTAAAATAAGAAATTGATTTGGAACAAGAATTTTAAAGTGTTCAAGGAACTGCAGTCAAAACCACTTGAACAAGAGCATAAACAAGAATCAAGAAACCCAACCTGTACATTGTTTCAAAAAATAAAATAAAAATACACTTAAAGAGTTCTTCTTTCTATAAACCTAGTAGATCAAGCTATTTTAAGCTTAACTTGTACTTCTCTAAATGAATATCAAAACTGCATTTCTCAATAAGTTAATTGAAACCTAAAGAAATTAGCAGTTGAAACATTAGATAAATTGAGAATTTTATGACTTTTAAAGTTTTTGTCATCTAATAGATATTTTTACATAAACTCATCACTGTGACTTCAACTTTTGGAAATTTAATGCATCAATCATCTGTTGAACATGTTATTCATGTAAACCTTTAAATTTTTTTTTTTTTTTGAAAGGTATGTAAACCTTTAATTATCTCTCTGAAGTTTAAACAATTAAAATGTACAACATTCCTTCAGCAAAACTTTTCTGTATTAGCATAACTAATCAATACTGTATTAACTAATCACTATTTTAATTCTGTTAATGTGTACAGCCCACAGAAATTTGTAATTTGCTTCAACATAATCACCGGCGGAATCATATCATTAAAATTTATTAAATTAAAGGCGGTTCAATGCGGTCACTCTGGATTCCTATTAACATCTTTGTAAAGCAGATATCTTGTCCAGGTTATACGAAATGCAGCATACCTGGGGAGGTAACAGAATATATTAGTGTCTACTCAATTTCAATTTTCACCACATAGAAGGAAGATGAGACTTGAGAGTCATGAATTCATCACTTACCATTGAGCTGAAACTGGTGCCATACAAATGCCATCATCACTCTGATCTGGGTAACTATTAAGCAAGAGAAAATGCTGTGAGAACCTTACGGAAAAGTTTGTCAATGATAAAATTACGAGAAGCAAAAAGAATGCACTGCAAAAAGAGAAGATAAAAGAGGAACCCTTCTCTCAAAATGGAAAAAAGACGGTGCAAAACAAAGCCAATAAAACATGTAAGATCATCCATCTATTATCTGTGCTGGGTTAAAGGTCCAAACAAAATTATTCAAAGCCTCTTGATTGATTTTTTCCCACAATATCCCCCAAAGCATGTGTCACATAAGTATTAGAGATGAGCAAATAACCACTGCAGGAACATTTCACACAAACAGCTCATAAATATATGAAAATTATACTCCACTTCTTCCTTGGACGAGCCTGCCCAAGACTGGATTACATATTTCACCATCATCAGTGTGGCAGTTGTAACATTCTAAAATATCAATTTATGTGAAAACAATGTATAAAACAACATTTGGGTGGAGAATCCGGTCATAGAACAATAATCACTGGAAGTATAAGGATACTAAAAACATTCTGTGTACCAACAAAATTCTGAAGTCATGCATGCTATTACCAACCACCAACTTACAAAATAAGGGTTTCAAGCCTGCCAATCATGAAGTACCGACAAACGCACACTTGGCATCATACTCCAGGCATTATGCCGATGAAAGTACAAATTAAAGATTCAAACTCACAACCACATAGACTTGGTACTCCAATACAAAGCATAGTGATGATAAAATCCACTTCTGAAGTGTCCTATTTGTAATTTTCCTAGCACTCCTATTCAAATTCTGGACCACTTACATGGTTTATCATTAATGGTTGCCACATATCATGGCACAACCTCAAGAGGCAAGGCAACAGACAACCTCAGACACGGAATTTGGCAATGGTGTCACATACTAAGGCAACACCAAATTATACATTCAGTGTCACATACCAAGGCAACACCAAATTATACATATACTTGAATGTTACGTCTACATACCTGCATAAATAGGACTCATCTACATAATATACACATTTCAAGTGAAAGACAAACTTCAGCAAAATCATGGGGGATTGCAAACTATCTCAAGATGTATGCTCAATACATTTTCCTGATCTGAATTCGGGAATAAATTACTAATATTTGGAATTTTTTATTTTATTATTTAGTTATTTTTTGTTGGGGTGGGGGAATTCTGTAAAAGACATAGTCATCAAAGAAATTATATCAACAATGGCATCACTGGAATCTACAGCCTTTTGAATCTGAAAGAGATATTAGGTTATCCTAGTTTCTGAGGGGTTATGATTATTATTATTATTATTATTTTTTTTTTTGCTTTTGGTGTTTGGAACAATCTAAAACACTTGAGAGTCCATAATACAATTGTCAACCAAAATTACAGAGATGATGCCCCAGCCTGATGATCTAAACAGGCAAATGAACAATGAAATCAAGAAGTTGTTCCATCTATTTCAGAAGCCCTAATGAAACTGGCAGTATAAAAACTAAATTCTCATGCAGTCTTGAGTCTCTTGACCATTAAATGAAACTCTTCCCAGCTATCAACTACGAGATAAACACTCAGTTCCCTCTAAAAGCAACAAGCTGATTGCAAATGGATCTCTTGCCAAAGAAACAAGCTGAAACCATTGTAGGTGTCAACAGCTATCTAAGTGGCCAAAAACAAAGACTGCATAACACCAAGCACGCACTGCCTACAATCTACATGGCTAAGCCAAAATTTCAGAGTCCAAAAACTCTGAGGCGTCCCAGGTCCATCAAAAAGCTCGAGGAGCAATCCTCAGAGTAGGAAACCCTGAGAAATTCTCAGGTCCACCAAAAAAGGTTGAAGAGAAAACCTTGAGCGCAAACCCTAACACTTAGGTCCTGCTAAAACCTCGAGCAACCCTCGAGTATAGAAATCTTGACACTTAGGTCGATCTAAACCTCGAGCAACCCTCGAGTAGAGAACTCTTGACACTTAGGTCCATCTAAAACCTCGAGCAACACTGGAGTACAGAACCCTGACATTCAGGTCCATCAAAAATACCTCAATCAACACTCAAGTACAAAACCCTGACATCATGTCCATCTAAAAAACTTCTAGCAGCCCCTGAGTACAAAACCCTGCAACAGGGACACTGGGCATATTAGCGGGGTCTATTCCATCTTAGCGTCCAACCGCCTCAACGTCTATACAAAGGATTGTGTATGGGCAATATTGAAACTGTCCTTTCCTTAGTATTGATGTATGCCTGCCTTTTTTGAAACATTTTCAGACGTTTTGTTAGACGAAGACGGAATTGTTAGGGCCGATGTTCCTTTTATAAGGGCAGAATCAAAGTATAGTATCGAACAAGTGTTGGAAAATCATAAAGTTAGCCCGTGAAAAGTTAGCTGCACCCACAAATGATATAAATACTACTGTTGCTCTGGCTTTACTCACTTCAGTGGCGTATTTCTATGCATGTGTTGCCAAACTTAGGTCCACCTAGAGCTTCGAGTGATTCTCGAGTACAAAACCCTGACACTCAGTTTCACCTAGAGCTTCGAGCGACTCTCAAGTACATAACCCTGACACTCAGTTTCACCTAGAGCTTCGAGCGACTCTCGAGTACAAAACTCCAACACTCAAGCCCATCTAAGATATAGAGCAAACCTTGGATACAAATAGATCCCGAGCAACAACCCTCAAGTGTGAGAGCCCTGAAATACCGAGGAACAATTCTTGGGCGCAGAAACCCGAAACTCTAGGAGCGGTCCTTGGGGACACACGGCTAGCTGAGACAAAAGGACAAATGTAGGACCTGTCCTGTCCCTATAGTCATGTCACGGAACACTTAGAAGGAATTTGGATTAGTGTGTAAGAAGCCAGAGTCCACCAAAGTATTCGAGTACTGGGCTTGACCAAAGGGATGGTGATCAAGTGTTATGACAAAGAAACTCACCACCATCATGCTGAATACATTTAATGCTACGAGCCAATCATTTAATGCTCAACTACCACCTTTAAAGACTAGGTGAATTCATTTAATGTGCACTTAATGCGCCACAGTTAACATTGACGGAAAGAATGGTGATTTGATTTAATAATTCGGCTAATCGGGCCCAAAACATAGTTGTTAAAGGCTCAAGGCGCCAAAGGCCTTCTGAAGCCTACGCGCAAAGCGCAGAATAAGGCGCGAGCCTGGTCAAAGTAAGGCGCGTGTATATAATAATGCATATTTAAACATATATTATTTAGATATTCATAATCAAGCAGTAATTGCAGTTAATGTTAGCAGTGAACCATAAATTTATGAATTTTGTCAAATATTTCATAAGGTTAAACAATACGATATATGATATAGATCCTTTTAATTTAGTAGTCATTAAGTAAAAAAGAAAACGATATGAATAAATGATGAAAATGATATGAATAAATGATTAAAAAATACAAGGCAAGCCTTTTTTGAGCATGGAGCCTACTAAAAAGCATTAGCCTGAGGGCTTTATGTGAGCTTGATGGAAGGGGCCTAGCCTGTAGTAGGTCGAGGCGCTCTAATTGAGCCTTGACGAGCCTGGGGCTTTTTTGGAGCCTAGGCGCGCCTTTAACAACTATGGCCCAAAAGCCTTATGACTCCAGGTAATACCCAGCGGGGTCTCGATCCCTCAGATATTACACACAAGAAGCCTCGTGTTAAAAATACAAAGGCAAATGAGCACTAAAGGGACAGAGCATCAACAACCACAAACCTCCATAACTGAAGCTCATTTATACTCTGTCACAAGCATAAAAACATTTCTACCTTCACCATTAATCCCTTTGGTTGGTTTGTCGTCTTCTTCTCCTGCTTCCAAATCAGCATTCTGGGTCCCTCACCATGTGTGTGATATCTCTCATCTAATATCTTTTATTACTTCTCCACAAAAGGACACCTACAACCATCTTATTATTTAGAGAAACAGCACCCCACAATGCCAAAACCAAAATAATTTTCAGAACCAGGATAACAAACAAGGAGAATTAATTAAACAAAAACTCAAACATAGTTCCTAATAATATTTGTGGAAAAATTAGTGACAAATACGCTAGCAAAACATTGTTCCAAATTTGCCTTGAAACGAATTAAAATCAAGTCTCATGTGACCTGTTAATTTGGTCTAATATTCCATAGACTTCAATATCCTGCCCAGAACTGAGTCGACTCAAATGCAACCAAAATTTAATGTTAAGTAAAAGTTTTACAAATGAAGACATTTGAGTTATTAATAATTGTTCCATTCACCAAAAAAGAAAAGAATACCTTCACATTAAGAAATTCACCTGGTTGAAAATCCACAATTTGGAGCATGTGATTAAAAAAAAAAAGGTCAAGACCAAGATTCTGAAAGATATGACATCCGCAAACCATCAACCAAATAACATAACAATGAACCCACAACGGAAGATTTCAGATGTGACCAATTTCTAACCAAAACCAAGTGTATTAAATTACAGCCGAACGATAAGACTTCCATGTCCAAACTTAACAGATTTAGAAACCATACAACATTATGTAAATTTCCAATGAACACCAGCACTTGACACATGTACTCAAATCTAGGTAACATAGAGGAGTAGCAGATCGCAGTGGATTGTGCTATGCCAGAAGATCTCAAGGTGAGATATTACGATAGCCACAGAACACCAAGCATACCATATCCATGTAGCTCAAAGTTAGGATGCCAAGCTCACATGTATCACCACATTGGTGCCACACTAAGTTGTCTAAGTTGCTACATATAACATGGGGTCATACAACATCTTTTACCCATGTATACTATAGTTTGGCGGAGTAAGATATGGAGGCCAAGGCACAACATGTGATATAGGGCCACGGGGGTGGTCTCAAGTGGATTGGGCTAGGTAAAAGTCAAAGCTAACTTGTAAGAGAGAGAGAGAGAGAGAGGAGAAATCTCAAGGACTATGTTACATGGACTCAAAAATGTGTGTGGTGCGGGTATGTGTCCAAGCATTATATTGTATCAAATCCCCACACAGATGAACACATGTACACAAATAAATATTCATATTAATTAATTATTTTCTTTATTGTCTAGATTAAAACAATGTTTTAACATAACATACCATTCAACATAGAAATTTCACTCACTTTGAGGAAAAAGTTTAACAAAATTAAATATGTTTTTAGGTGCATGTCCAACCAAATGTATTCGACACACATCCCGTACCTACTTCTTCATGATTTATGCTTCGGTGTTGATTTTTTGAACGCTACTTTGTCACAACCTGAAAGAGTTTATGATATGGATTAAGAAACACATTTCTCATGGAAGCATTTAACATAAGACATCTTATGAGATGTAGTCTAGTTGAGTGACAATTCCCATCATCAATTGTCACGCCTATTTTTCTTTTTCGTTTTTTGCCACATGAACGGCCATTACCATTAGTATGAGTGATTCAGACCGTCCACTACGCAGCACAAAGGATCTGGAAAGATTGTAATATTTTGATTATAAAATGTGTTGAATGGTTGATGGGTAGTATTAACTCATATATATATAAATGCTCAAGCTTTGAATGGATGTTGGATTGTAATATTTTGAATATAACTTTTTTTTTTTAATCTAATTATTACAATCCAACGACTAGTCAAAGCTTCAACATTTATATAAATTATAATATATGTGTATATATGCGTAAGTTAGTGTATATATGCGTAAGTTAGTATATATATGCAATCAAGAACCAAGTACCACTCCACTTTCTTTTGTATTTACAATCTCAACCCAGTCAATTCTCTTTATTTTGTCATTGGAATAGCACAAAATAGTGAAACACTTTCCTAGGTTGTTCCCAACACCAATTATCTGTATTTTGGAGTTAGGGTTGGGCTTTGATCCCTGCTCAAAGGGTCTGGAGATGTTGCCTCAGTCTTCAGGTAATTGTCTCTTCTGTTACTTATCCTTGCAAGAATGTTAATTTGTATGACTATAGAGAAGACAATGCTTGTGGAGAAAGAGAAATTGATAAGATCCAAAAGGTATGCTTGAACACACATATCCCAGACCCTGCTAAATAAGAGAACCTTGTGCACTATGAAATTTTCATTTTTTATGGAGGTCCATTAAAAAATTATAAGCCAACCCCTTCAGTTATTACATCCTATCTTAAATCAATAACCCACTTAGAAGCTTTCATGTAAATTGTAAGCTATCAAACCAAGACAAATAAATAAATGAAATGATGAAAAATTACTCCAATCCCACCTAAGGTATTTCAAACTAAGGGACATTATCCTTCTAAATTGGGTAATTACAGTTGAATTCCCTCTCCATTAACTAAAATGGAAGGTGTTAACTGCAAAGCATTTTTATACATTTGTCGTCAAGACAAATGTAAAACCACCTCATTTTACCTTGATAGTACAATTGGATGGAGGAATGGTTTGAAAATTAATTGAGTTTCAAACAAAATATTGACTGTTAAAGCTGGACCGAAAGGCTCAAGAGAATGTTATGGTAGAGGTAGGATCATGTGCAACCAAAATCATTGTCAGCATGGATCTTCGAAATCCACTCATGTAAAGCTCTGAAATCAATCTATAAATCTTGTTGTAACCTAAATCTAAGCTATGAGATCAAAATTTTACTTCTTCAAAAATTATACTACCTAGATGCACTCATACTAAATCCCTGAATCCAAATGAAACTCAAAAATATGATAACTAACATATATCAACCCTTCGTGCCGCCACAACCACCACCAGCACCTTCATCTATCTCTCCGAACCTCCATCAAATTCGTCTCTCTGCAACCTCATTGACAGACAAGATTATTCTCCGACTACTCTTTTTCTCCCTAAATCTCCTACTTTTTAGTTTTTACACACCATAAATAAGACCTCTGCTACAAATATAGCTTTGTTTTTTTCACTCTATAACCCACCATAAACTTGCCTAACTCACTATATGACCACCACTCAAATCAACCAGTAAACCACTTACTCTCTTTAGATTTGCTTTCTTCACAACCAGACCTAACACCACTTTTTTCTTTTTCTTCTTCTCTCTCCCCATTCTATTTATAAGCCAAAGCCATCTCATTTTCTTTCTTTACTCTTGCCAAAGAAAGACTTCTATCAATCTCTGTATATTCTTTCACGGCATTGCCTCCCTCTCCCTCTTTCTCACTCTCTCACACAAACACAAACACAAACACAAAGAGATACCATAGTAGCATCAAAATACAAGTAAATGAAACGGGTTTAGTAATCTACCTTGAGATCTTTGAATGATACGATGATTTTTAGCCGGTGATGGTATCAAATTTAGGAAATTGAGTTCGTTCCCCTTTCATCTGGTCACTCAATATCTCGATCCGTCGTGCGATGCAAACACAAGTGAGGATGGAAAAGGGGCAGTTCAATTGTCCGTTACGTAAGTGTGCGTTTGTCTCTGATGAAAAAGTGGGAGAAATAGAAGTGAAAATAGTGAGAAGTGAAAGGAAAGTTGAAGTGAAAATAATAATAATAATAATAATTTTTTGACAAAAAAAAGGGATAATTTCACTTCCCTCATGTTAGGCATAATTACATGCAATAATTCTTACGTTTCACAAATGACACTGATCTCCTTCCAAACTGATCGACATTTTATTTCGGCCATTGACCACATTAAATAAGGATGGCAAATGTTGACACGACCCACCAACACGACTAGAGTTAAATGGGTTTGGGTTGACCTTAAACGGGTTCGGGTAATAAACGGGTTGACACGATTAACTCGTTTAATTAATCGTGTCGTGTTTGGGTTGAGGGGTTCAACCCGTGTAACTCGTTTATACACGTTTAACTATATATGTCGTAAATAAATTTCTGTTTAAGTTCTAAAATAACTATATAAATTTGTGTCTTATAATTTAATCTTTTGTAAACTATAAACTATTTAGTAATTTGGTTGATTAAAACTTATATTTTTTTAAATATTTATTATATTATTAAATATTATTAATAATTTAAATAATATATATATATATATATATATATATATATATATTGTAAATATGTCATTAAAAAGGTTACACGTGTAACCCGTTTAATAAACAGGTCATGTTAGTGTTGAGAGTTTTTGACATGATTATTAAATGGGTCGTGTTCGGGTCGAGCTGTTTAATATAATACCCTTAAATTGACACGACATGATTACAACCTGCGAACACGAATTGCCACCCCTAACGTTAAATGACTAAAACACCTTTTAATATTTTATTAATATCACATAAAGAATAATTTTTTTTGAGATTACCATATTGTCCCTAATGGTATCATCTGCTACCATTTCTTTTCCTTTCATTTCCTTTACACATATCTTACAGCTGGTTAGAGAGAGAAACAAAAGGGAGAGATGGAGAAGAGTTTGATGTGTTGCCTTTACCTTAGATTTGTAAAGACTTTGATTTTATGTTCTCTTTGCTAGCTGTTACATATATAACACATAATCGTTCAACAAGTAAGCATCGGTACACTTCTTCTGTTAAAGACTTTGATATTCTGTTCTCTTTGCCGCCAATCTGACCTACGTCTCCTCCCCTCACCTGGCCTCCTCGTCCTAAACTCTTTTCCACACTTCTTCAATTTGACCTACCTTATTCTTCGTGGACAGTATTGGGATCTTCCCAAAGATCGCTCGGCAACAAAACCCTTGAAACCCCGAAAATTGCAACTGGGTTTTGATTAAACATTGTCTCCATGATTCCATCGCCAATGATCCTGGTGTCGATCGCCACCAACCTAATAGATGCGGCAACGTTGAAGTTGGCAGTCGTCTGAAGATCTGTGAACACGTTGTCAGTGGGGACAAACATAGCAAATCAGGGCATTGAATTCCTTACAGTCGAAGCTGCCAGTATCAATACGGAAAAGTTGAAGTTGTGGCCATTGATGAGGGCTTTCGCGAAGAAGAAGATGTTTACGTTATGGGGGAGTAGGTGGCAAGGGAGCTAATAGAGATGGTGTTGATCCCCGGGATGTGGGTGATGTTGACGGAGCTGAAGTTTCAAGTTGCACGGCTGGTGGTTTGCTAGAGTGTGGTGATGAGTTCTCAGGTGGCCGAAATCCGAGAGAGGAACTCTTACGTTCTTCCACAATCGCCTTTTTCTCTTGACTCTCTCCCCTTGTGAATTTTTAGGATTTGTTTTTAGTGTTGTAAATATAAATATAAATTTGCAAAGGATGCAATTAGTGATCTTAGAAGGGAATCCACTGGTTTGATCAGTGGAATGGTGTATTTGTAAATAACATAGCTTTTTGGAATCGAAAGCTCATGGAGATGAACAACAACAACAAATTCCAATAGAGTAATATAATTTTAAAAAGATAAAGTGATAGAATTTAGAGAGAGAAACAGTTTAAACCAGAAATAGCGAGTTCAAACCAAAAATGAAGAAGAACAATGAACAGAAACTTAATCAATAGATCGAGATCGAGAAATCGAAAACTCAATCATCAAACTAATGGAAGGATTTGGATGGGTTCTAATTCAATTAACCCTTAAAAAACGGGTGTTGATCCATTTTTCAGTTATTAGGTTCTTACATTGAGAAATTTTAAGAGAGAATATTTAGAGAGAGAAAGTATATATGTAATATTCTGTAGACATGGTGGGTTTATGACAAGACCCATTTTCCAATATTTCTATTAGGTTCCTACATAGAGAAATTTGAGAGAGAGAGAGTATATGTAGTAGTATTCTGTAGAGATGGTGAGTTTATGAATATGACATATAAGAGTTTTTTGTCTTTTTATTGGAGGTATATAGGTAATTTTAAAATAAAAGTAAGGATAGAAATGTCTTAAAACTACACAAAGGGCAAAAGTGGTATTTCAAGTTAAAAAATAGCTGATGTCATCAAAAACTATAATTGACCGGCATTGACTTTCACCGGAAGGGGTAAAGTGTTACGCCAGAGCTAACCTTGAGGGAGGACGGTGTAATTTTTTAAACCTTGGGGGTACCGTCTGTAATTATGCCTAACTTCAAGGGAGGTAAGTGAAATTATCTCAAAAAAAAATAATAATAATAATTTTTTAAACGTGTACTATATTATATAATTTGGACATTATGAAAGTTTTTTAAAAGACAATGTAATAATTTACTTAAATTTATAAATTATATATATAAAAAAAACACTTCATAAATATTGTATTGAATATTACAATTTCATATATATTTTTAAAATATAAAATTATAATGTTGACACAATTTACGTTACACTCTCAATATTTTTTAAAAAACATTCTACCATGATTATTTTTTTTAATGGTGGTGTTGAATGTAGTTTAGATCTCATTGTCTAAGTTTTCCAATTCCTAAATGAACTCCATTGCAATTTTGTTAATCATGTCTGCTAAAAACTTTATTGAAAGTTCTGGAACTATTGAGAACATTTGACATATTTACATTTTAATTTTCTCCAACATCTCAAATTTTAAACTTCTAAACATCATCTTACAATTAAGTGTCATCATATCATCTATCAATACTGATCATATCTTCTATCAATACTGAACTCATGCATATTGTCAAATGTTAAAATAGTCTTCTAATTAGCATTCATGCAAAATATCACAAAGTCATATTGCTCCTATGCTACCCAACTACATATAAAAATGAATCAATTTAGTCACAAAATCATTGCCTCTTTTATGTATGGCAATTAACCTCGATCTATTTGCATTTTGTGTATTGCAATTATGATACAAAAAATATAAGAATTAAATATTGTGTGGTATATGGGCTCTTATGTAATTTTATTTTATTTATTAAAAAAATTAAAGGTGGAGCGCAAGAGGAAATTGATGGAGGGCCAATTTCAACAAGTTAAATATTGATTTTTTTTTTATTTTTTATAAATAAAATAGTATAAGAATCTAAATTAGGACATTTAGAGAGAGATACAGATTATTATATCATTATTATTATTAAAAATTATGGATAAAGACATTTTGTTTTTGAGAGATAAAAAGTGACATGAATGTAAGTTCACATAACCCTTTCAAGAAAACAAAATTTTTTGAAATTTTTGAGGAAAAATTAGGTAGTTATGAAAAGTAACTTTCCCACAAATTTTTTCTTTTCTGCTCTGTAAACCCTTCAAAAGTTAAAATATTTTTCATTTCCTTTTCTATTTTGCTATTTTTATCTGACCAAACTAAGCCTAGGAAAATAAAAAGAAAGACAAAAAAGAAAATAGTGATTCACAACCAAAAAGCTTGAACCTATCAATGGTATTACGTTATTTAATTAGGTATCACCAATTAATTAAAAAAAATTATGCCACCTAAATACATATATATTAGTATCAAATGTCATGCAAATTGCCTATCAAAAAAAAAAAAAAAAAATGTCATGTAAATAAATATTTATTGGGTGCGTCCTGATTTATTTATGTTACAAAAGTGAATTGATTGGTGATAATACAAAATAACATGGTATAATTCCCAAGCATTTATACTCATTTTTTTGGGGGTAAATTTATATTCATTTTCCTTCAAAAGTCTAAGTACACAAATGTAACAATTGATTCCACAGTCCTTTATAGGAGGAATTGTCACTGTAAAAGTGCAAATACTAGATTCCCTTTCTTTCTCCTCGGTCTATCGAAATATAATGGTGGAATTAGGCATTACAATTGACAAGGGGCAAGGTACCCTATCCCGCCCAGTCCCTGACTCTAGGATGGTTTAACCCTATCCAAACCCCAAGCAGAGGCTCTAATATCAAGCAATATACTAGAGTGATGTAACAGATAATGTAATTCACTGTACATTGTTTGTTCACTCTTTGGTGAGCTCATTGATGCTAGGGTTGCAAATAATAGCTCGACTCGGCTCGTTGGTTGAGTAAAAGAGTTAAATTTGAGTTCAAATACTAGGCTCGTTTAGTAAACGAGCCGAATTTGAATAGTATTGCGCTTTACTCATTTAGACTCGGTGAACATAAACTCGAATAAATTTGTATATGTTTGTAAATATAGACTTGTATACACTCGTTGAGCTAACTCATGAACGCTTAGGAAATTAGGCTTGTGATCTACGTTAAAATTGAGTTCGGATGTTTTAGGGGACCTAATGCTTAGGAATCATATCAAAATTGGTAGGTACCAATCAGTTTGTCATGGTTAGTGTCATTAGGTTAGACTAGAAGAAAATTATGATTATTATTTCTTCAAAGAGGTTAGAGGTATCATTTTCCTCATATGGCTTGTATCTAATCAAGAACTTGCTTATGCTGTCTCTTTTCTATCACTAATTTAGCATTTTAATTTTTTTAGAAACATGTCATTCTACCCCATCTTTCAAACTTTCATGCATCATATATGAGAGAGGGAGGCCACCCACATGAATCAGAGTGGTTTGGAAATAAGAAAAACACTCATGGTTGTGTTGCATGAAATTTGCTGCTGAGCTAGCTGCATGCTTCAGCACCTTTACCTAATCAATTATGAAGCGCAAAGGTCAATGGAATTCATCACTTGAGAAATCAACACTTGTTTAACCGTCAAGAACACTGCTTTTTTACAGTATCCATCACTTAATTATCAATGGAATTCATCTTCCTCCTGATTCTCCTCATCTCTCACTTGTCAGAAGCCAAGGTCTTCATGGTTCTAATGGAGGAAGACCCTGTTGTGTCTTATAAATCCAAACAAGCCAACCCCAGGTCTGATTTACTTGCTCTTGTGACTTTGATTATTATTCTTTTTCCCCAAAAGTTCAAGCAAACATGCGCACACTCACATATTGCCCCTAACAGAGCTCGAACACTAATCTACTCTTTGACAACGAGAGATCATACCATATGGACTAATGTCCAATAAAATGATTTGGGGATCTTTGATCGAGGACTACCAAATTACGTTTGCGTTTTTTTTTTTTCCCCTTCTATTATCTTACCATCGTTTGTATTTTGCATTGTATCTTCTATGTGTAGGAGTCATGATGATGCTATGATTTACAAAGCGAGGTTGAGTAGTGGGCATGACATTTTTTTAGAATCTCTCCTGCAAAGAGGATCATATACAAAACTCTATAGCTACACTCATTTGCTCAATGGATTTGCAGTCCATGTAACATCTGAAAAGGTATTCCATATGTGTGAAAAATCATATTGCATAGTCTAGAATCCAAACAATAAGCAATCATAGTTATTCACAAATACTCCAATTTAACCACAACTGAATTTATATACCACCGGTACATAAATCATTTGGCCAATACATGCCTCCTCTTTTGTTTAACATTAGGACCCATGATCTTACAAGTATTTAATCCCACCTTAGCGGTTGCTATTTGTATAGTTAATTCTGATGAACAAATATGCATAACTAGGGTAACTAAAATTGTGGTATGTAAAAATGGCATATTAAGTTCTGTAAATTTTGTTATGAGTCGGAATTACTGCAAAACAAAACATAAAATGGAGTGATATGAAATGGATCATTTTGCAGGTCCTAAAAACTCTGCAGAATGTGAAGGGAGTTAGTGCGATCCATGAAGATATTAAAATGAAGAAGCTTACAACACACACACCTGAATTTCTTGGCATTCCTACTGGTGTTTGGCCAACTTTAGGAGGACCTATGAGCTCTGGTGAGGGAGTGGTGATAGGTTTGATTGACACCGGAATCAATCCTTACCATCCAAGTTTTACAAGCCGGTCATCTTCTGGCGCCAACACAAGTTTTCTAACTAGAAGTGGTAAATTCAAAGGGAAATGTGTGACTGGGGATTTGTTTCCTTCAACAGCATGCAATGGAAAGATAATTGGCGCAAAATATTTTGCACGTGCTGCCATTGCTGCCGGGAAATTCAATGCCACGCGGGATTATATGTCCCCCTTTGATGCTGATGGTCATGGAAGGCAAGTAGTGTTGAGCAAAATTGTAGTAGATATATCCATTTTATCGTTACATCATTATCTTCATGACTGATATAGATTGATGTTTAGCACATCTTCCTTATGCTTGTTATCAAATCAGACTCATTTCTTATATATGATACGCCAAAAATGATGCAAATTGACAGCCATACGGCCTCAACAGCTGCTGGAAACCACCGAATTCCAGTAATTGCCAGCAACTTCAACTATGGATATGCAAGTGGCATGGCTCCAGGAGCTAGGTAATAAAAATTTACGATTTGTAGTTTCATTCTTGTTCTGATGACCTATAGTACTAATCCAGAATGTGCATTTTATCGTATGAAGAATATTTTTCAAACTACCGGCGTTTTAAGTACGTAAACTATGTACTAAAGATACAGTTACAGAGTACTTTTCTTGTTTAATTACATATGTTAAATCTTCTATGTACAATTTCTTTGTTTTATAGGATTGCAGTGTACAAAGCTCTCTATTCTTTTGGAGGTTACATGTCAGATGTTGTGGCAGCAGTTGATCAGGTTTGAGAAAATTGGTGAATGTCTAAAGATATTGTTGACATGCCCAAATGCCTAAAGTACTATATAAACTTAAGCGATCCTCGACTCATTTGGTGATCATTTTGCTTACTTCAGGCAGTGGAAGATGGAGTTGACATACTAAGCCTTTCCATAGGGCCATCTAGGGTCCCCTCTGGTCCTGCTGCTTTCCTAAATGTGCTAGAAATAGAGCTACTGTTAGCTACAAAAGCCGGAGTGCTGGTTGCTCAAGCTGCTGGCAATGGAGGTCCTTCTTCCAGTTCAATCCTTTCTTTTAGTCCATGGATCACGAGTGTCGCTGCCTCTAATACTGACCGGAAATACATTAATTCAATCAAGTTAGGCAATGGACACAGCATTATTGGCACTGGCCTTGCGCGTAATTATAATCACTCGTCTAATTGTTCTCTCTCTCTCTCATTTCATACACAATTTTACTATTTTTTCTTCCATTGCTTAAAATTTCACCTATTTTCATTCTATGAACATAACATTTTTCTTATCCAAAAAGGAATTCTAGTAAATTGAACAGATTCTACTCTGCAACCAATTTTGCAGCTCCAACAGCAGGAGAAGTGCTTTTCCCAATAGTTGCTGCAATTGATGTCTGTAAAAGGAATATAACCACCGGTCTTGTAACAATTGAGAGCTGTCAAAATACTGAGCCATTCATACTGTCTTTAGTTCGAGGAAAGATAATAATCTGCACATATACCTTTGATTTCGAGTTTGAGGATGCAAGCATTGCCACAGTAGCAGATACAATACAAAAAGTTGGTGCTGCAGGGTTCATACTCACAACGACCCCTGATGTTGGTTCAGAACAGATCAAGGGCACCACAGCCACCTTTCAAGTGCCTGGCATTATCCTAAATAATATGCATTCTTCGTCGGTATAGCAATCATCTGGTTATAGTTAATAGACATTGCTTTTGTTTTCCTCATAATATTCATTATCTTTGTTTATTAAAACCTGATTTTTTGTGTTAATCTCTAAAATTCTTGCAACATATATGGACTCTCCTTACATTTTGTTTGTTTTCTTTTCCTTTCAAAATCCTACTTTTTGTATTCTTCCAGACTCAATGGCATTTCTTAAGTATTTCAACTTGCATAGTTTTCAATGCCATTATGTCAATATAAACTCCTAGGCAACAAGATAAGCATTAGCATGTGTATGATTCAAGGCATTATCCACTATTCTATGCAGGCACTATGGGAGTATTATAATTCATATACAACTAGGAGAAGCAGCAGACACGCAATGAGTTTTACTGCAACAGCAAGAATTTTGGGTGGAAGGCAAGCAATTTATAATGGACAGGCACCGGTTGTGGCCTCATACTCATCAAGAGGTCCTGATGTGATCAACACTCTTTTAAAAACTGTTGATGTTCTTAAACCGAACATCATGGCTCCAGGCTCTTCAATTTGGGCTGCTTGGAGCCCTAACAGTGAAGGAGATCAAGACAGCAAAGGTATGACCGACTTCAATGTTGCTAATTTAATGTATAATAAACATTACTGTCCATGACCTTATAATTTAAGACAATGAAGTATCTTAACCATCTCATAGGCAGAAATGTTGAGCAAAATATTAGCATTCACTCATTATTCATACTTTTTAGGCAAAAAGATTGATTAGTACTCCTTTATCTATTTATTAGTACGTACCATGGTCTTGTGGATGAATTGTGTGAGAATTGTGTGGTTTTGCATATATCCAGGGCACCATTTTGCACTAGCGTCTGGAACAAGCATGGCTACTCCACACATAGCTGGTGCTGCTGCTTTGATCAAGCAAAAACACCCCAACTGGAGTCCTGCCATGATCACTTCAGCGATGATGACAACGGCTGATATAACTGACAGAACTGGGGTTCCAATTCTAGCCCGCCATACTAAACAACTAGCTCCTGCAACTCCATTTGATTTTGGGGCCGGATTCATCAATGTCTCTCGAGCCATTGATCCAGGACTCGTGTTCAACACCAAATTCAACGACTATGTAGAATTTTTATGTGCCATCCCAGGTGTTGACGATATGTCTGTGAGACGAGCAGTGGGTGTTGGGTGCCCAAAGAAGAGAAAGGCCTGGTGCTCGGATTTGAACACGGCCAGTGTGACTGTTTCGAATTTGGTTGGCTCAAGGATGGTGACTAGAAAGGTAATAAATGTGGGTGGTGGGAATGAGACATACAAGGTGAGTATAAGGGAGCCGTTAGGTGTGAAAATTAGTGTATCACCAAAAGTTTTTAGGATTAGTACCATGGCTTCAAGGCTTATTAGGCTTGTTTTAGATGCAACTGAGGCAACAAAAGCTTATACATTTGGTGAAATGTTGTTGCAGGGAAGTCAAAATCATGTGGTTAGAGTTCCTATAGCTGTTTATGTTGGTAGCTCTTTAGGATCTTGAATTTTTCCAATATATGCTCTTAGCTAAAACTTTCTCATCTTATAATATATATTGGTTTAAGCCTTTAGTGTTCAATGTGACATCTATTTATTTTAATTTGAAGTGAGTTTCAAGAAAAACTTCTTATTACAGAACTTTTGTGTCATCTTGAAAGATCATTAATTTATGTTCAATGGATTATGTTATATACAGAACAAAAATGAGAATCATTCACCTGGAAGAGCTTAATCCAAGTCTGGTATACAAATATAAATAATTCATCTCAGACAAGTGTGCGCATTTAATTTTACATTGAAAGTTCCTAAAAAAATACATAGATTGGTGTACATAAGCAGCCTCCAATCTGAGAAGCCCTTTTTATTTGTTTTGGATTTCTGAATTAAATTACAAAAATTAAACAACTTAACTGATGTAATTAAATATGAGCTAGATGAAGCTTTACCTATGTTTTTGTATTGTTGCACACATTTTTGGAATAAATCCCCCCTTCTTTTGCACCTGAAAGATTTAGCAACCTTTATTAATCTCATATTAGAAAGTACCTAGGAGAACAAAAGATTGTGCAATTTACACTACTATGTATATATATATATATATATATATCCTATATACACATTATTGGTCTCACCTGGAAGCTTTTCACGAAAGCTTTAATCTTAGTGGCTATGGATTCACTGTTGCTCTTCTTCTTTTTCTTCCTCCCATCTTTCTTAGCTTGGGACACTGTCAAAGGCCTGAGAAAGCTAGGAATCAAGATCTTCCAGTCGCCGAGACATGTTGGACCTCTTCCATGCTTTGGCTTGCTTTCAACTGTAAAGATCTATCAAAACATGTATAAATTCACAGTTTATATACAACTTGTTTTTTTCAAAATAATAATAATAATAATAATAAAGGAGTATAGTAATAATTGGAAAAATAGTAAATTGAATTAGCCTAGCCAACAACTTAGCTAGGATAGAGGCAGATTATGCTAATAGAATTAGCTAGCCTTTTGATTGAAACAATGTACTATATTAATATTGTTAAAATGATACATTTTATGTATGATTGTGTAATTAATGCTATTATTATAGATTGAGATGAACTAAATTCCAACCACACACACAAACACATAGAGAAGGTAAGAATGGAAATGGTACCACCTTGGTAATAGGTTGTTGGTTGTTGGGTGGCTTTGGATGAGTGGTGGAGGTTGCTCCTCCTGATCTAGCTGACTCACGAAGGCGGCGTGAGTAGTCCAGAAGCTCAGCCCTCCTATTGTGCCCTTTACCATTGGCAGTGCCATGTTTGGATTGTTGAACATAAAGGTGGTGGTGGTGGTGGTGGTGGTGATGGTGGTGGTGGTTGTTTGATGTCAACCTTCTCCTTCTTGGCCCCTCCACATATACAGCCACTAACACTGCCTTCTCCTTGCAGTATTTGGTCTAGAATCCAAGTTAAATTAACAGACAGTCATCAAATTAGTCACAGAGAGAGAGAGAGAGAGAGAGAGAGAGAGAGAGAGTAATGTTGCTTACCATTCTTGTTGGCATGAAGAGAGAGAGAGTGAGAGAGAGAGGGTGGGGGGTGTTTTAAGGTGTGTACATATGAGAAAATGCAGGCCAGAAGAAAATGACAACATAAATTCATTGATTAAATCGAGCCGAACTTATTGATAATGTGTTTATAAATCCAAAAATGGAATCCAATCAGTGATTTTAAAACACGTATACATTAAACAATGAATCCCACATTAAAAAAGAGGATTATAGTACAAACAAGGACTTAGCATTATGATGTATATACCGACCAAATCCACTTCTATTCCTAACTAATATGCTATATTTTATTAATTATCAGCATCTTTTTGTCAAAATCATCCTTGATTGTCTTTCTAACTCTACTCCGGAGTTTAGCTCTAATCGTGAGCTTATACTTTCAGCCGTAGGATTCAGAATGCGTCACGTAAGAGCTTCTGATCTAACATTGAGTATGCAAACTCATTTAAGAGTCCTGATCATGATATGTGCATACGAAAAAAAAACTTTTGAACACTATGGTGTACCTGTTTTCAATGGTTTATTGAAAACACCATGACCCAATTTCTTTAAAATTTAGGAGCTTTATATATTAATTCATGTCCTAAGATTCAATTTCCTTTGTACCCAAGCTATGTATGAGCTAGGTGGGCCTTTTTTACTTGAAAGAAAAAAATATATCATACTCAGGAAGTAGTGCTACCAAATTTTGAGAGGGAACTACTGCCTACTACATCTCTCTTCTTCTTCTCGGCTTCCATTTTGTAAATGGCATTTCCAATGTCTCTATCTTGCTGGGGTACACGACATTTGCTTTTTGCTTCCAAGATATCAGGAAATTAATTTTTTATTTTTTAAATAAATGATAGAAATATCCCAGATCCAGTTAATTTTATTCTACAAGGTTTGAACCTAAGGCCTTCTTTTATAAGGGAAATTTTAGGGTTTCATCCCGTACTATTTTGTGATAATCATACTTTCTTCGAAATTTATGCAACCATTTGGAAATTATATGTTTATAATTTTTTGGAGAGGAGGCATGTAACATATGAAAAATGATAGAAGTACTGATCGATTTTTTAAGAAGTCTCAATCAATTTTAAAATTTGACTCGCGTGTTAATCTTTGAACTAAACATTTTAAAATAAAAGAGACTATTGATACTGTGTGAGAGACTTTGCTAAACACTCTTTATTGAAGTCGCCAAAAAAATCGAGCATTGAACATTAATCAGTCGGCTTTTACTTTCACATAAGTTACCTCCGGCACTATAGATATTTGGAGACAAGTCTTATGGGTTCACCAGCATTACCATTTTTGTAGTCTTATAAGTTGGGCCGCCTTTTAGGCCTGCAACCCATGCCACAAGGCCCACAACTTCTATAAAGACAATGGTTCATTGTTTATGACAATTTTGGCACAAAAAATTTCCCCAGTGACTTTAAAATTCCAAGTCACCCAATTCTATAGATATTATTAAGACATTGTAGTTTAGTGGTATTTTCTCTATTTTTCAAAATGGATGGTGAGAGTTCGACTCTTCAAAGAGATAAAGTAAACATGCGTTTCTTGACAATATCAAAAAATAATAATAAATAAATAAAACAAAATAAAATTCTATGGATATCCACCTACTAGCAATAGGTTGTCAATTCTATATGAATCATATCAAAGTCAATGAGGGAAAAGAAGAAAATAAATATATGTCAAACTTCGGCTCTAGGTGAAAGAGAAATACTCCAATTCAACAAAAGCTCTAAGCAATATTAAAATTCCATTTAAACCAAGTCTTGCCATTAATTTGGTCAAGAACTCTATATCCATGATGTTGAATTAACTACATGACAGTACACTAAAAAGTCACTATGTTGAATTTTTCCCCATCATACTCAAGAATGAACAAGTAGGAAGATTTACTGAAATAATTTTTAAACAACTCTGGAGTTTGTAAAATAACATAAATTCATTATATAACAATAAAGGAGGCTAGAACTGCATTTAGCTCACCCTTCCCTATATTTCCAAATAGGTAAGATTAATACTATATAATGACCTTATTTCGAGGTTCGTTCACTATTTAATATATTTATGACTAATGTGTAAACTATCAAGACACAATGTATCAAGTTGTGCAAACTTAATTTGAAAATCAGACTGTTCGGAATTTTTTAAAAAAAATTTGTAGAAGAAAATTTTGGTGAGAACATACACTAATATCACTTGTACCATTGTAGTCACAATGTTTTCCTAATCAAGGGTATTAAACTCTAAACTCTTAAAGCAACATTCCTAGCTTCCCTAATCAATCCTGATGGCATAGCCAGAGATTGTCCCATTTTTACTCCTTACATCCCCGACAAACATTGTGAATCCTGTAGGGCATGTGCACCTTGTGGTCAAAGGCCCAAGTTCGACAGAAAAAAAATAAAAATAAAAAAAATAAATAAATAAATAAACATTGTGAATCCTCAAAGATCCATCTTTTTCAGAAGTGTTCAGCTACTCATCAGGGAATCTACATAGGATCACATGTCCTAGATTCTTGGTAGACAAGGAGGTATTCTTTAGTACCCAGTAAAACCAACAACTGATCTGGAAAATCTCTCGACAAAATGAGAAACTAATAGATGCAAGAACTTGAGACAAATGGCTAAGAATATACACACTGGAGTAGGTGAAAAACTCTCATGCAAGATGTGAGTTAGCCGAAGGCGTCAATAATATTAATTAATAAAGAAAACATTATTAATATCACATAATATTAGAAAAGCAGCAAATAGTACATAAATATGCCCTAGAGGATTCAGAGCAAAGTGAAGGATAGAACTCGAACCATAGCTCTTCATTACCATAAAAATTACAGAAATATGATTCAAAAGAGAAGACAATAACAAGAGGTTAAAATACAAACTTATAAATGGCCATTGACTAGTCCTTGGAACTGCTAGAAGTGTCATCCTGCCAAGTTGCTTGCCATTGCTTGTCGTAGAAAGTCGTTTCTTCCAGAAGCTTTTTTATGTTTTCTATATCCTCATTCTTCCGGATCAGAAGCACTCCAACTACAGCTACAAATAACAGTGTTTTGCAGAAGAAGTTGCCCATTTGGTCAACAAGACCTACCCCAGTCAAGCTATCCACCAGGTAAGCCATAAAGAAGCCTATCATTGCAGCTCGACCTGGAAAAATCACAATATGCCATAAACTGGTCAGCATAAACCAGGAAAGAACTACGTGATCCAACCTGAATTTTAGAACAAAGAGAAGTCAGCTAACCATTGAGTAGTTCAGCTTCAGGAAGATGGAACCTCTTCACCCATGCCCACCAAGGAATAATGGCAGTGTCAAAAACTACAGGGTCGTCATTACTAGATGTCTCCGGATTATCTTCAAGCCATTTCCTCCTTTTAACCTCTGAAAAGGATTAGCCAAGGAGGTACATTAGAAAGCAACCCTTAAAGTATCAACAAGAATAAGAAGTTAATTTCAGAAAATATATAATATCTGAATTTTTCTTTGCTGACCAAAAATCAGCTAAAGAGGTGTAATATAAACCAATCGAGCCATAGCTTGTTCAAAATAGAAACAATGAAGAAAATGAAACACCACTGCTTCAAGTGTCCAAAATGAGAATAAAATAAGGTCCAAAAAATCTATAATTTCATTCAGCAGTTTAATGTACAATTTGTCATTCTGCCAAGTGATGACAACAATATGTGCGTGTAATACTATGGTAAAGATCACTTTAAATGGAGAAGAAAAAGCCTTTGTAGTGTTACAGTAAAGATCAGTAATAGCTAGGGAAAAGTGGAAGAGAGCGAAAAGATACTAAGGTGTAATCTCAGCAGTTAGTAACCATGAGACATGAAGATAACCATTTTTATAAAAACTTTATTCAAGAGTGACAGTTTTAAGAGCTCAGGGTCTAATCAGGTATTTAGGTGGGTCTGGCCATAACACCTTTAAAAATATTACAAAACAAGACAAGCTAAAGAAAGTAAAATGTGGGTTATAATGATGTGAAATAGTTCATACATCAACAATAGCAGCACCCTCCTCTAATAGACAAACTGACGAATAGCAGCTCTAATGATGTGAAATAGCCAAAAAGTAATGGTCACCAGAAAGTTCCAAACTAAGAAAATATAGCTATTCTTGATCAATAGAGATATCTCACTAAACAAAACTACAGGATCACTGACTCTGGAAAACAGTTCCTCTCAAAATCCATGTCAAAATAAATAATTTGTTATTATTATTAATCTAAGGGCTGTTATTGATATCCTTAGCCAAGACTCAATTTAAGCATAGGAATGCGTAACATAGCAGGCCAACTGGGAGATATCAAGCAAGGGCTGAACCCAATTTATCTTCATATGCAATACCACATATCACATTTTGCTAATATTACGTGATACTGAATTGCCAAAAACCCTTGTTACAATGGAAAAGTATTGGCATGATATTCTAAAAAGGGGTGAAGTTAAGGTTCAATTCTTGTAGCTAACAATGAAAAATATTATGAAATATTAAATCATAAGATACCAAGCGTCCTCTAAAACGTCTCCAGGAATGACCTTTTGTGCCTTCCTTTTTCCTATTTATGTTGATAATACAAATTTAAATTAAAGGTTAAAGAAGTATATATTGATCTAAGCACTCAATCAAAATTAAGCAAGCACTTGACCTAAGATTTTGAACAAAATATAATTTCAAAATGCAAATTGACTGACTGAACACACAATAGCATCTAAACTAGAAATTAGTTATTCAATGTGTATAATTAACAACACCATAATTGGAATTATAGGAGGATAAGAAAGAATAACAAAATCAGTCATCCTCCATAGCAAGTCCAACTTTCTCATTCACTCATAACGGTGCCCCCACCCCAAAACAACAAAACAATGCCCTTTGCAAGGAAGCAAAATTATGCACTTTTTAGATAGAGAATCAGCCATCTTGAGTTGCACAGAGTTTATTTATACAAGTGAAAATCTGAATTTGGATTGAGTTTAGTGGTGATTTCTTGTTTATCTAATCGAGCTACTAAGCTGAGATTCGTCTTCGATCATGAACGAACTGAGTTCGGATGCTCATGTAGGAGCTTGAACATTCTGGCTACATGATCGAGCCAAGCTCGAACAAATCCCTTCTCAGCTCAGCTTGTTTACACCCCTATTTGTCACAGGTTAAATTAGTACTGGGCTCTTCTCAATTCACATTTCTACAAAAGACTACAGAGATTCACCAATGAATCTCACAAATTTGTTCTTTTGTCCCAAATTATGTCATAGAAGAAAACCACAACCTTAGTTATCCCCACATTAAGTGATTCACAGCAATAAATTCAAAGAACAATTAGACACCTAAGTGCAAATTGCAAATTGATTATATTTTGCAATACAGAAGATACCTATAAAAGCATCTCAATCAACATGCATAGTCAGTCTGGTCTAATTAATGAAAACAGAATACATGTCAAAGCAAAGAAACATGTAGTCACTAAAAGCATCCTCAACAAAAAAATCAGCTGAAAGCAGTTTTAGAGTTCTGCCCTAATTGTACTCCTCTCTGTAATAGGCATTCTCACATGTAACGTTGGATCAAAGTACTCATATTTTTGTCAATATCCATTTTTTCACCTAATCGTCATAGTTTACATTCACAATACTTAGAAAATAACCCTACATTTCGAATGGTCATTTCCTCCACTCCATCCCTCATTTAGTCAATTAAATAGAACTAATGGTTCCATACATGTAAGGTAATTAACAATCTTGCACAAATCAGTCATTTTGTTACTAGCTGAAATTAAATTGAAAGCAAACACATACAAACTAACAAAAGAAAACCTCACCAGCATCAATTACAGAATCCCAATTGGGCTTTCCATCTTTCTCAAACTGCTTCAAATCCCAAGTGCCTCCCACCCATCTAGAGTCCTCAAATTTACATACCCCCTTCACGGCTGAACCATTAGGCCCCAAAAGACCCTCACCGGACTCCAATTTCGGCTCGGAATCCTTCACAGGGGCTTCAGGAACGTTCTGTTCAATCTTCTGGTCCTCTACCATGGCAGCAGAGCCCACCACTCCAGACCCATTCTCAGTAACCCTCGTGGACACCAAAAGAAGGTGCTTTTTAGGTCTGATATGGAGATAAGGCTTGTGTGTGAGGTGGGTTTTTGCAGAAGAAGAGTATGGAGAGAGAGTTGGGAGATGGGTTGGAGGAGATGAGAACAAAGCCATGGACATTGTTGTTGTTTCGGTGGGTACTGGAATCAGAGAAACTCAGAGCATTCTGGTGGGTTTGAGCTATCCTGATTCCTGACGTGGATAGGGTTTTTTTAATTGCTAGCTTGATGACTAGTACGAAAGAAAGAAAGAAAGTACAAAAATAAAAATGACGTGGTAGACTATGTTTTTATTACCCTTTATTTATTGCATGACACTCAATGCTGGCCGTTGGTTTTCAGTCACTGTTATCAATTGGGTTTACACCACTTTCCTCTTCCGCCAATGACATGTGACAATATGAAACTAGGGAATACAAAAACTGACCAAAATCGCGTGCATTGAGAGTGACTGGTAATCCGCAGCAACGTGTTAGGAAATATCATCATGGTAAAATGTAAAAATTTGTATCTGTATTACCCCGGGGTGATTCATAGAGGTAAATTTCATAATATGAGTGAGTACGGGAGATTATTTTTTACCTGTTCTCGATAATTCATGAAAAAACTTGTAGTATTTTTATTATTTTAATTCAAAATCACATGCATACAAACATATTTATTTAATTTCTTCTTCTTGGTTGAATTATTGGGAATAGGCTAGCTTAGTTATCCATCCTTACTAGAGCAGGTGTATAGTGAGTCGAGCATATAATTTTATTAGGATGGTTGGTTCATTAAAATTTAACAAATTAGGTTTTGAAGAGCCACTCTTATTGTCCTTATTATATAGTGGGCTCAATTTCTTTTCTTTGGTCAAACATACTAATGAATGTTAAGAATACATGCTCGCAAACTAGCAATAGAGAAGAAAAACAATCACACAATTAAGAACACTACGATTTTTGTAATTGAGTAAAATCGTTTTATCTACGTCTATGGAGCGCGCCGAAAATTTACTATTAACAATAATGATGAATATTTATAAGAAGAGTTCTATTCAATCTGCTCTTTCTCTCTCACGATCAATCTATCGCACTCACACAACATTAATCTCACAATCTTTTCTATCCCAAGGTTTGTACAAAACTCAATATTAAAAAAAAATAATAATAATAAAAAATAAATAACAACAACAACAACAACTTGCTTACATGTTTATAACATTTTGGAAAGCAAAAACTCACTTTAGTTAAAAAAATTCACAGTTTCTTATTTTCGTTGATTGAACTATTAATCTGGTTCGATCTATATCATTTCGATCGGAGTTCGATCAACAATTACATAATTTACTGAGATCCGACAATTCATCAATTTTGATCTATACTACTTCGATTGGAGTTTGATCAAATTTTACACAACTTTCGTCCATTGAATTATTTACTAGATTCGATCAATCAGAGCATTCACAAACTACGATCAGAATCATCAAAACTTGTAATTTAGTCTCCACAACCTCAACAATGACATGACATGTAGGGATGGAGTCATGATTTCATATAAGGGGAGCACAATGTACTTGTGTAGTAATCTAAAGTTAATTTTTTTTCAAGGGGAACTTTCAATATTTTTATGGAACTCTTTATGATTTTTAAGAAATATGCATATAAAAATGCAAGTACCAATTAAGTTGAGAGATCGAAAACAAATTGTGGTGAACTTTTCTATGCTCTTTATATGATATAGTAGTTCCTCTATTTTGAACACACACATATATTTAATACATATCCCGTTCAAAGTTCATCCTGTTTACCGATCCAATATATAACAAGTTCTTTTAGATTGTAATAATTTTTTTTTGTTCACTTTCATTTTTTTTTCCCAAAGCAAATTATATATATATGAGGTACGAATATTTTACCTGATTGGGCCTAAGCCACTTTCGGTCCAAGACCAAAACCACCAAATAAAGAAATTTTGGGCCCTTGGAATCCAAGGCCAAACACTCAGTTAGGCCCGAAATTGGAAAACTGAAAAAGAAAATGAACGAAGATTTCAATTAGCATAATTACCCAAATTAGCTGAGGTAACCAAAAATAATAAATTGTGCTGCGCTTAATTTGAGTTGGACGTCCGCAATTTGATAATGAGTATATATATAGTTCAAGCAAGAAAAGAAAAGTATATATACACACACAAGTTGTACTTAGAATATACCAAGCACACGAGCAAATTGTTTAATAGCAAATTAACAATTACATAAACACACCACCAAGGCTTTTCCATCTCCTCTGCTTCTAAAGTAAAAGTTGGAGAGTTGGAATCTTCCCCGACAAAGGCTACAGTGAGATCGAATTACAACAATTGACACCCACTCTCAAACAAAACAAGCCAGTAAAAGGAAAAAATTACAACAATTAATTAATTAACCGGAATGAAAATAAAAATTTAGGCAGAAGCTAAATCATCCGACTGAGTATATGGCATCCCAGCCACCAATAATTTGTCTCGCAGCTGGAAGTAGTGAAAAGGGTTGTACCTGCCAATGGGCATCTTGAAGAAGATGATTCGCTCACGACAGTAAAAATATGTGCTCACAAGATATGAAAGGAATGGTAACAGGACTGTAACATAAGCAGCCGGAGTTTTCGGTGTTGTGGAGAGCACATTGAGTATATAGCTGAAGACGAGGCAAAAAAGGGATATTCGGAGCACCAAAAAGTGTAGGCCAATTTCGATGGTGAGAAAAATAAGCTCAACTGAGGCTGCAAATGCTGTGGAGTTAATAAACAAAAGAGTATAGTAATAAAATTCAGACACTGTTAAGTTCTTGCCACCGTCGTCGTCCTTGAATATTCCAGTGGGGGGTGTCCCTGAAACTTGGTAGGTGGCTGTTGCAACAAGAGTAGCTACCACTAGTACAGTGTTTCGAAGATCGTTAGACTTCAATCTTTTAATATTACATAAATTAGGGAGTCCTTCGGTTTTTATAAAGTCTGCCAGATCAGTAGAATAAGGAATGCATGCACTATTAGTACATGACCTTGAAGCTAACATTTTCCTGATCTCTCCATCGCTAGTTAAATCATGAGCCGTCAAACCAAGCATATTCTTCTCAATTACTCCTCTACCCACAGTTTTGAGCAACAATTTCACAACCTGATCAAATATAATATAAATTAGTTAATTTTATTTTACAAATTATATATATGTATATATAATTGAGAGAGGGAGGGGGGCTAGAATGCATGCCTCACGTTGGTTAGTGTACGCTGCAACGTGCAACGCTGTATTGCCATCCTCGTCCTTCCATTTTAGCACCACTTCATTATCGGTCTTATCAGCCCATTTGAAAAGGACTTTAAAAGCGTCGTAACTGCAGTTTCTGACCGCAACATGCACGGCGGTCTCGCCTCGGACAGTCAAATCTTGAACGGATGCTGGACAAGCGCATAGAAATTCAGCCAAAAGACTGAAATCGTTTTTTTCGGCAACATAATGCAAAGGAGTGATTCCCTCCTTGCCTTGGACACGGATGAGGTCGCTGTCAATATTTATGAGCCTCATCACAGTCTCGGCATGCCCATTTCGCAGTGCTAGATGCAAAGGGCTGAAGCCATCTGGATTTAGCTTCCGACCAAATGATGGCATCAACCTAATCATTTCAACTGCGAAATGCGTATGCCCCATTGATGCAGCTATGTGTAGAGGAGTATCAGCAAGTCGAAATCGTTCGTTGCCGTCGTCGTCGACTGCTTGTGAGGACTTTTGAGATGAATACAAGGCTTTGATATCTTTACATTGTCGAAACAACGAATACAAGGCATTGATGTCTCCTGTTTCAGCAACTACCTTCAACCTCTGATCCATCCTGGCCTATATATAGTAGGAGATCGAGTGCATGATACATTAATTTAATTAGTATAATAGGTTATTGGATAGTACGTTGAGAAAAAGTAAAAAGTAATTAAGACTCCGAATACCTTGTGTTAATTAGTACAAGTGAATCGAATTTCAAATCAATCACCAGAGTCAAATAATAAATAAAACAAGAAGAACAGGGTAGAAAAAAAAGGTCAAAACTTTCATCCTCTAGGTGCATGCAAATGTTAACAATCATTACATATGGTGGAATATATATTATTCTAGCAACATTATAAAAAAACCAATAAACTTTTCAAGTCTCTCATCAGAAGATGAGTAAAATGAGAGCGTACGTACCAATTAGAACAAGTTCTATTGCGAAGAAATATACACTTAAAGCAACGATTTCAAGATAGAGATGGATAACTAGTGAAACTCGAAGGTGTGAATTTATAAATTTATGAATTTTAAACAAAATAAGAGAAATAAATCATTGTCAGACAGAAAGAATCAATTTTTTTCTTTTTTTCATCCCTTAGTTTCCATATCTTTTTCTTTTTGCTAAATTCCCATATCTTTATCACACATCTTAACATACACATTATTTGTCATGCCATTCACGATGATCAACTTTGTGGTGGTGATAATAGTGTCTGACGAGGAAGATGACGATTTAAGTGCAAAAATTAAATACTAACAATTTCAAGAGTTAAATTTTAATTTTTCAATAGTTGAATTTTAAGTTATAATTCTAAACTATATATATATATATATACTTGTTTAAGTGTTAATTAAATTGCATTTATTACACACACTTCGTTTATTGAAAAATTTCTTATTAGATTTTAGACTGATAACATTACTCCAAAATATGTGGTGATTATATATATACTTAGTGAAAAAAAAAAAAGAAAAAGTGGTGATTATATACTCTCCCACTTTTTATTTATTATTACTCTATTTCATGTCTTATGATAGGATGGATAATAAAATTAAGTAATTTTTTATATTACATCTATACAACTTAGTTAGAGTACCCATTAAAAAAAAAAAAAACACTTAGAGTAAATAAGGGTCTGTTTGGTAATATATTTGTTTTGTGTACATTGGATTGTTCATTATGTTTTGCAGAATATCGCATTGGCTTAAAATAGAAGAACAACATATAAAGAAAAAAAGCGCACAAAAAAATTCGTTTCCACATATTTTTGCTATCGCAGAAGAAAAATTGCAACAAAAGTATTTTAGAATAGTTACTCTAATATAAATATAATATTTTTATTTTTTTAGGTAAAAGATAAATATAATATTTTTCACCAATAATATTGCAAACATCTCTGTTCACTTTTGTACTAAAATATTTCACAAGAAATTTAGTTAACAAATATGTTTATATATGTTTCCAAATGACTTATGATACAACAAAAATACAGCTTAGAAACAGGAAAGGCAAAATAAAAGTGATACGGACGCTTAACACTGTAACTACTTTGATCATATGCGAAGATTCAATGCTTGCTTGAGGAGGGGTTTATCACTTTTTTTTTTTTTTTTTGACCGTTGTCGACTCCTTTCGTTGGCCCCCTTGTTTTTGATGGGCTGCCAGTGCCAGCAATACTTTATTATTATTATTATTATTTTTTTGAATTTTAAGCAATGCTTAATTCTTGTAGAAGGCATAGTGATGCTTAAGAGCCCTCTTATACTGTGTTTGGTGTGCAGAAATAAAATGGAATGTAATGTCCATTTTAAATCATTCATTTGTTTGGCATGTAATTTATACTGATAATGGTTATTCCATTGGAATGAAAATTCATTCCACAACTAAACCTATAAAATGGTCATTCCATTCCCAAATAATTTTATTTTATTTTATTTTTTTTTCAATTTCCCAAAAAACCATCATATTCCAAGTCCAAAAACCATCACTATTTTCCATCACAACCACCTTCGTCTTTCACCACCACCACCACCACCGACTTCCACCACTACCACCGCTTTCTACCACCACCGTTGCCATCGACTTTTACCACCACCTACCTCTTTCCACCACCACTACCACCGCCACCACCTTCCACGACCCCCTTTCACCACAACCACCACCACTACTGCCACCACTTTCTAGCCCCACCCCTTTTCACCACCGTTACTGTATTCCACTGCTACCATCTTCCACCACCACCACCACCACCACCACCTTTCACCACCGCCACTGCATTCCACCAGTATCACCTTCCATCACCACCACCACCTTTCACCACTACCATTGCCTTCCACTGCCACTACCTTCCACCGCCATCGCTTTCCACCACCACTACCAATGTCACCGCCTTCCACCATTACCATCACTACCGCCGTTGCCACCACCTTCCGTTGCTGCCTTCCACCACCACCGTCGCCGCCATCGTCTTTCACCACCATCGTCGCTGCCACCGCCACCACTTCCACCACCGTCATTGCCTTCCACCACCACCACCACCACTACCAAAGTTACCTTCATTAGCTTCCACCATCGTCACCTACACCACTATCACCTTCCACAACCACCACCACACTACAACCACTGCTTTCCACCACCACCACCACCACTGCCACCTTCCACTGCCACCTTCCACCACCACCATCGCCGCCACTTTCTACCATTACCACCACCGTCGCCTTCCAACACCACCACCTACACCACTACCATTTTCCACCTCCATCACCATCCACTACCGCCATTGCCACCATTTATTTTTAAAAAAAATTATAGAAGAATATTATTTTGTTAATTTAATTTATTTATTACTAAGAGGGATATTTTAGAGAATTCAATTTGAAATTTATTCCATTCTAAATTTTAAATTGATCAAACCAAACACTAGAATGGTTATTATCATTTCATATTCTTACACATTTCATATTTATAACCAAACAATAGAATGAGAATTGCCATTCCATTCCATTCCTATTCTCATTCCATTCTTACTTGCATTCCATTCTATTACTGCACACCAAACGCAGCATTATAGTTATAACTAATGAATGCAAAGATTTACTAAATAATTTATTTAATTTTATATATTTTTAAAAAAAATTGTTTCAAACTCGTGGTTAAATAAGGAAAGTTCACATTTCTTGTCATGAGAGAATTTTCATGATATCATTACTCAATTATTTTTAAGTTTGTACATGTTATGATAAATTATAATCGGCTCTTTTGAGGTTTGGGTAAATTACACATGAATAAATTATTCAGTGTTTATTATTTTAACCTCCTCTTAGATTTGATCGTGTACTCGATCAATGACACTCTTAGCATTTTCTTTCCAACAAACATCTTAACTAATTTTTTTAAAATGACAATTTTAATTACCATTCTCTTCTGTAAAAAGCAATATAAAATAAGTGCATTATTGACTTTTCACATTCAAAGTCACTTTTCAGTTGTCGAAGAATGGGTTTAGGAGAAGTCAAAATAAGATATTTCCTATTTAAAAAAAAAATGATTTTAAAACCAAAAATGCTATACTTTACCAATTTAGATTTGTAATTTTATCTTGAATTAGGTGGCTGCTTATTTGGCTGCTTTGTGTGTGTGTGTGTGTTTTTTTTTTTTTTTGGTAATATATGAAAGATCTTAATATAGGAAAGAGAGAGAAAATAATAAAACTTATCATTATAGAATCTAAACCCTAGTATAACTCAATAACTTGAATTTAATTCTTTGGGCATATATCTTCTATTGGAAACCCTTTTTATTAAATATTCAAATAATTAAAATTAGAAGTTATAATTTTTTACGATGAATAAGTAACCTCTTTGTCGTGAATAAGAACCCTAATTTACATAATTCACTTAAAACTTTTTATAATTGTATTTTGATTTGGTATTTTTTTAAAATTTTTATTATGGTTAAATTTTAAAGAGATACCCAACAAAAATATACCGGAGAGAATAAATATATATATATAAAATGAAAAGTATTAGTAGAGAAAAGTAAATGAAAGAGAGAGAGAGAGAAACATAGTGTAATTGTTCATTATCACATTTTCCTTCAATTGTCAACTCATTTAGTTTGCTACAATATGAAACACAAATACATAAAAGAATAAAACGTAATATGTATTAAAATGGAGGACAAAGATGTCTTTTTAGTTATCGTCACATCGATCAAATTCAAGATCACATCCCGAATTAAAATTCGAGATGTGTAGTGATACTCTTTTAAAACACACAAAGCAACCAAATAATCTGACAAATAAGTAGCTAACTAATTCAATATAAAATCACAAATCTAAATTCGTGAAGTATAGCATTTTTCATTGTAAAGCATGCAATTCACTTATTTATTTAGTTCAATCAAATTATTGAGTAAATAATCTCCTTTAAATAAAATCCATTAATCCTCAAGGATAGAAAAAAAATCTCCATAGAATAATTTCTCCAAAAGAATATAACTCAAGAATCTTCAAACATGGACCCCTAATAAAATCCCATAACTGATAATAAATAAATGTCTAATAAACTTAAATAATATTAAGAAGGTAGAATCATACGTCGATGACACCAGAAGAGTGATGATGCCAAGTCTCTGATCTGCACGAACAACTGCTAATCATGTTACTGACGAGAACCTGAAAAATATAACAATGGTGGGTCAAAACCCATAACAAGTCTTTTTTACGACAACCCAAACAGAGACCTGAAAAAACTACACATTTATAGCTAATTCATGCAATAGCTACATAGTCGACACATATAAGTATGCACACTAAAGACTCTCACTAGACTAAGGCAAACTCAACCATGTAGTGAGTATCTCATGTAAATCGCACACAAAGGTGGTCACTAGCTCTCTTTCTACCAGGGCACACACATCCCTAAATCTAGTTACCCATCTTAACTGGCAATATACTCCCCATCCTAACCATTAATCATAAGACCTCAAGCTTGTATTATGGTACACATAATATCATTAAAGACATAACTAACCATATCCTGACAATGGTATCCAAATTGTAACCATAACCATATTCTAAGAATAGGTTGAAAAAATATATAAAGTATATAATAGCCATATATATCCTAACAATGACATGCCATACATATCCTGACAATGACATAGAATCACATCCTGACAATGGTTCTCAAATAATCCAAACACTACATTAGAATTGATTTTTTTACCACTTGTAATTAACGACATACAAGAAAAACAAGTCTTGTTAAGTACTAATTTAAGACTTATGTTTAAAGCATGTCGTTAAATATTAAAATGCAGTTATATTTATGGCTTATACCTATATGTCCATTCAATTTTTTTTTTTTTTTTTTTTGAAACCTGCATTCTTTATTATTACGACTTATTTTTTATATCGTAAATAGTGGGTCAAAAATTGTTTAAAACACTAATTCCCTCGCCTTCGACCTATGAAAAAA